AACACTTCAAGTAACACACTTCAAGGAATTTCTTTTCAGTAATAACAATGTAATAGCATCTAAAACTTAAACAGGGGGGAAATACAATCCTGTTCTGATGCCAACCTTGTCACAAAGCTCTTTGGAAAGCCATAAAGCAGAAGACACTGGTTAGAAGATGCTTTACCTCATCTGTAACTTAAATGCAGATGCAGCTGTGAATGCGTGGTAGTGCTTAAAGTATTCCTTGCAGAGTAAATTGTGTCTTTGCACATCCTTTTATACAAGTTGTACCCCTGGGAAGATCCACACACCTCATTTCTTTTACCTCAACATAATATTGATCCACAAAGACTTCTGGGATTGTGTCTGCTTCTCCGTATATTAACAACACGGTGAGTTTTTTTTCCTAGGGAGAAGGTACAGTTCATAGACTTGGATATATACTGTATTGAATCTCCCATCAAGTAACACCTCGATGCTCTTTGAAAATACCTTCAGAATTAACTCAGTTGATTCTGGGGGTGTGCAAAAGCCACTGTTCAGCATTTACTCAGCTGACAAACACTGGACATTGTCCAGCACTGTCTCCTCTCTCACTCCTGCCTCTTCAGTCAGACTTAGAGAAAAGCCTTGGGGGTTTTATTCTTGTTTCATTTGCCAGCCTCCTCCAAGAAACCTTCGTTCGTGTTCCCTGGCAGCACCTTACAACTCTAGTCCTGGTCTCACAGCAGCTACAATAATACAATTCATAATAATTCAGGAAACAAGTTAATTAGCTACAAATGTATGCAGTATATTTGAGTACTTACACATAGCTGAGATTAGTAAAGAGTTTACATCAAGTCTCCTATTTTGTTATCCCTTGTTCTGCCCAATTAACACATGATGCATTTCCTTCTACCTTGAGGTTAGATGTCTGAAACTTTTCAGCAGGGAATTACAAACAATTCACATTTCTTGACTTACCATTCATTGTTTCACTACAAAAAAATAAAAATACAAACATTTGGTAAGTCTCAAGATTTTTGTTTCCCATGAAATCAAATAATCACTAGAACAGGCTGACCTCAAAATCTCATTTATTTCCATGGGTCTGAAAAAATGATTTAATAAATCTGGGTCAAACACTGCTTTAAGATTAATGAGATTTACTGTTGACTTTGGGTAATCAGAACTCCACTTTAGATCGCCACCAGTTTAATAAATTTGAAACAGTCCTATCTGCTCTACACAAGCTAATCATTCCTCTTTTTGCTAGCACCAAGCAACAGTAACTATAAATTAGGCAGATGTCCATTTAGGTTTATTTACATAGCAACTTCATAGTAAAAGTGCATATATGACAAATACATTGGGAAATCACTGGGAGAGGAAGATATTGCAAAATTACAGAGCTTATTTTGTGTAATTACTGAGTTCAACTAGTTACAGAACATTAGGGGCTTCAGGCTGAAAGGACAAATTTCAGCATGAGGTTTCAGACTTAGTAAATTACTAAATTGAAAACTATGGGAACCATAAAAAGCTGCCTGGAGTGCACGTCAATAGGGGAATTTGGAAAAATGATTCGCAGCACAGAAATAAAACCAGAAAGGGATCAAAGAAACAAGGAAGCAACAGGAGGAATTCACTGCATGTCATCAATGGCTGGACCATTCCATCATGCAACTGGCAACTTTCACAGCACCAATCCACACATCAGTAACTACGCAGATTTAATGCTGCTTACCAATGAAAAACGACAACATTTAGCATTAAATTGGGGGTGAAAAGGTTAGGTTTGTCATGCCCACATATGCATTATACAGGTGCTGAATTCAGACACACCACTACCTGAACTGCAGGCGGAAACTCTGGAAGCACTGCATTAATGGAATTAGGCAGCTACATACAAACCCAAGCATGGGCCTTGGAGTCTCAGCAATCACACTTGTATCTGTGTACTGTTCCCAAAATGTTGTCCATATGTTACTTAACTTGCAAAGGGCTTTTAGTGGAAGAAAGTTAAGTAGTTTGACAGAGCTTGTTTGAATATAGTACCTGTGGAGCAGGCTCTAAGTATCTATGTTTAGAACAAGAGTAACAAGGCATCCCAGACTTGTTAATTTACTGACTAATCCTTCAACTCCAACTACTCATTTTCTGACCCGGTCCATTATTGCACTTTCTGAAAAATACATGCAGGTGGGAATCCAATGTGGCACTTAAGTGAGGGAGAAACCACTCAGGAACATATTTATGGCACTAATTAAAGGGGAGGGAGGAAAAAACACACAAAAACTCCACAAAACCCCAGTGATTTCACTAGTAAGTGCCCAAAATTCAAATTCCACAGCTGGCAATTGCAGAGAAGCTCCTCTGACTCCCTGCAGATTTCTTTTCAGCAGGAAGTTTAATTAAGGTGTTTCCCCCCCCTACACACACACAAGAAATTCCCTCTGCACTTGCCACACAGAGCGATTCTTTCATTTTCAGGAACAGGAATTCAAAGGAATCCCTGAAGCATATCAGAGTTAGGCTTGTGCTAAGTATCAATCATAATTCTCTTTTTAAAGATTCTATTTATCTTGTTTAAAACTAGAACATTAATCCAAAGCTAACCACTAGCCTCTGCATCAATGAGACAACTGAGGAAGTTAACGTAATACATAAAATACTGCAATAAACCGAAGTTTGCCCTGCGGCGCTTCAAGTTCCCTTTCTAAACTAGTCCAGGGAAATAGCAATTGGGTCACTCTCATTTTAGATCCCCCAACAGAAAAAGGCTGGTTTTACTAAATTTGATAAAGAAGCCTAAATTACTGGTTTATTAACAGAGTCGTTTAACTTTGCCCCAAAAGTGAATGTCAAGGTTACCTTGAGCCCAGAGCAATGTCAATAAAACAAGGTTTATCAATATCACTATGCCACATGGTACAACAGAAAACATGCAGGAGAAGAATTCTATTCCCTCTAAAATCCAGTGCTCTGCCCAAAACATGTATGACAAAGAACCAGAGTGGGTACAAAAAGAAAGCCGTAATGGCAATACCTTCAAGCAGTTCTGTAATGATCAGGCACACACCGATTATTTTTCTCTCCCAGACTTGTAGAGAAAACTAAAACACACCACTGCTTTTAATTTAATTTTTAAAAGGTTCATTCAGATTTGAAGTTATAGAGCTTTTTAGACATAGCACTGACATTAGCCACAAAGCACGACAAGTTTGAAGAGTCACAGCATCTAGAACACTAATGCCAATGCCAATAAACCCTCTCTGCTCTTGTAGCATCCAATAGAACAAAACCAACCAGGTATCAGAGGTGATACATACACCCCTCAGACACAGGGAAAGAGGAAGACTTTGAGAATGGATCAACACAACAGTTATACCTAGAAGTGTTACTGATTTTATGCTCATTCGCTGATATAGGTCAGTGATGCTCCAGTGAAATAAATACTATGACGCAGCAGCAGTCGGCATCATTCCCTCTAACCAAAGGGAGCCAGAGAGTTCCCTGCAGACTAATTCAGCCTGCTCAGGAGAATAAAATACAGCTACACTGCCTACAGCTTCTGAGCTGGCTCAATTACAGCACGTGCTAATGTGGCTATGCTGCTCCTGGCATCCAAACAAGCTTCCTCAGCTCTGTCCTGCCTCACGTACTCACAAAAGAGCATGCATTTCAGAAAGCTCAGCTCAACTCCAGCCAGAGACACCAAACATAACAGCAGCCCATCTCAGTAAGGGGCTGAACACCTTCCAGCAAGGGGCCACCCACAGCAGGAACTGATAAAACCCAGCAGCAGAGTGTGCAAGGAAGGGGTCCTGACTAGGACACAAAACTGCTATGGAAAAGCTGCCAAGGCTGCAGAGCTGAGGAAGGTCTCAACCACATCACAAAAGTGCTGTTCTTCCCTGGGAATCCTTATCAAAAATGCTGATACTGTAAGGAAACCTCACATGTATAAGTGCTCATCAGCACAATCTACTCAACCATATGCCAGAGGCTGTATGAACACCATAATCTGGGGGATAGTAAACAGTAACTTAAGAAAGATGTGGAGTGGGGGAAGTTATAAACTGGCAGTGGTGGAAAAGCAAGCTGAGATTTCAGTTAGGGAAAAGGATATAAGAAATACGTTAGGTCACTAGATTTGCTAGAGACAAATTTGTCTAAGATTATTCCATTTATCCTAGTGCTCCTCTAAGTACATAGGTCATGGCCACAACATGGGAAAGATGTTCCGATTATGAGCTGCAACTGCACCAGTCCACCATTAATAAACAGAAAAAGCAGCTACAGCCTTACTCTATAACATGAAGTGCACCTACATATGTGCATTATACAGAGCAGCTTTACTCCATAATACAATGTGCGATGGGTAACTATGTGTCTGCTCCCTATGTCACCAAAAAGCTGGTATAGGTAACAGTGTGCCATATTAGAGAAGTCAGAACTGCGAAAAACCTACAAAAATAAGTCTATTCTACAAATTAGAGAAAAAAAAACACTAAAATCTCCAACACCTTGAATTCATTTCCCATAGGGAACTTAAACATTTTCAATTATCAAAACCATGATGCACCTTGTGATGCCCATCACATCATTTCCTCTTCCTGGGCTGTCTTTATCAGTCTCCATCATCCACACTGTTTTCCTACAGCCAACCTAACAACCTCCCATTTCCTCTGGAGTTACCTCCTGTACAACTGGACCCAAGAAACTGAGTGTTTCAAGCGTTACAAAGTCAATTTCATCCAGCATTCACTTTTGCTTGTGGACGTTGCAGATGATCACACTTCAAAACCCCATGAGCCTGCTTTGTGTAGTTTGGTCTGTGGGCTTCTTGGGGTTGCTTTAACACAAAGCCCCTCAGAGGCACAGACACCGGCTCAGCCTACCCACCAGCTGTGCTGCCATGAATAAAAATGAATAAATACCGACATATTAACTGTTAGGATAACAAAACCTAAGGCATGTTACCAAATACCCGTCACTTTGACAGGGAAAGGCCATAAAGAGACAGAGCTCACCTGACACCACAGTCCAGGAGATGTCTGCACCGCTCACCAGCAGATTCGCAGGCACGAAGTTTTCCTCACGCCTCTGAAGGAATTAAATGTATTCCAGGCACGGGAGACCATGGAAGACCATGGAAAACCATGGGAGAAGCCTTCTACTCCGAGGACCAAGCTCCACTCCCAACTACTCGCAACTCACCCCGTCACAATCGCTCTGTGAGGTGACCGGTAACGGCCGCCTCCGTGAGGAGAGCGCGGGCTGCCCCCTGCTGGGCGCGGCCGCTCATGGTGGTTCGAGATTGTTCCAGCGGGCTCCAGCAGCACCGACCCGACCCTCAGCACCACCGCAGGGGCCGAAACAGCGCCCAGCAGCGGGGAAGGTGTTCTCTTTGGAACGGGTAAACGCACGTTGTCTTACGTTGTGGTACCAGAGGAGTTTTATCTGTATGTATAGAGAGATTTATATATAAACCTGTATATATATAAGTTTCATTTATATATATATATACAAAAGTTTATGTAGTTTGCGCTGCCCCTCCAGTGGGAGCACCCTTCTCAGCTGCACAGTTGAAGGTTCCAGTAGCTACCGAGAGCTCACACTAGACCTTCACTGTGTGTATTTGTCTATATAGATATATATATATATATTACAATAATAATAATAATATGTATAAATAACAAAACTAAAGAAACAAAACTAAAGAAAAACTAACTAAATAAAACTACACTGAAACCAAGGTCTGGGAGGGGAAGAGCTGTTTCAATCAAGGCTTCCCTGTTGTCCATTTCTGCTGTTTCTCTGTTCTTATTTGCTTCTCTGGTAAAATCCGTGGTGAGATGTATACAAGTGCAAGCACAGGTTAAGTAAGCTCAGCCCGGCCCCCGATAGCACATACAATTTATGGTGGTGTGGTTTGTCTTCTGCCTAAGCTTGCAACAGCCAAAATAAATCCAGAGTGGGTGATTTCGGTAAAACCCCTCATGGCAGGGATGGAACTGGGTGATTTTAAGGTCCTTTCCAACCCAAACCATTCTGTGATTCTGTGAACCCCAGCAGAGGTTGCCCAGAGAGGTGGTGGATGTGCTATCCCTGAAGACACTCAAGGCCAGGCTGGATGCGGCTCCAGGCAGCCTGAGCTGGTTGAAGATGTCCCTGCTCATTGCAGGGCGGTTTGGACTATGTGACCTTTGAAGGTCCCTTCCAACCCAAACCATTCTATGATTTACTGTTCACCTGCTCTAAACGCAGGCACTGAGGGGCTGACTTAAAAGCCAGAGTGAAAAATGGCAGTCACTTGTTGAAATAACACAGGAGGGGAAAGAAGATACAATTACTTTCTTGATTGCTTGGTTTTCCTCTTCTTTCCCATTCTGCACTGTCAAGTAACGCCTGCAAGCCAAAACCCAGGCATTTTAAAGAAAAATAATAAGTATGTATGAGACTCTCCAAGTTGCAACTTACTTGTTTTGGTCAGCTTCATGCCAGAGACCCCTCTTTCCTATCAACAATATTTGTAGATGGGTTTCAAGGAGGCTTAGCTGCAACCATTAAACATGGAGCCTGTTGGGTTAGATGAAATTATGTGGGACTAGAAAGACTTGCAGGAGCCTTCTGATAGCAGATTAAAACTAAAACATTCAAGTTAATATGAAAGGATGTATTTTTTGTGTTTTAATCACCAAACCTGAGGAAAAGACACCAATTTACAACGGGTTCTGTTTTATAGGGAATACGCATTTCCCAGGGATTTGACTGCAACACCTAACTATTTGATATGGTTTGGGGAGACAAGAGAGCTTGCCTGCTTTTGTCATCCTCACACCAGTAGGGACTAGAGCCCGCTCACCTTGAAGTCCATCCTTTCCAAACCTAGGCAGCATGACTGAGGACCGCAGCTTAGAAGGTGGCAAAGCCAAAATTCAGTAAGCAACAATTTCAGCTACATCAGGAATTTGGGCCATTTTAAACAAGTGACTTGGGGGTCAGGGAGTGGGGTTGCAGACTGAAAACCCCTCAGACCCCTTGCTACCCTATTGACAAGCTCTCTGGCTTATGTTCAGGCCTTTCTGACGAGATGGTCACATCTTCTTCAGCAGTGTCAGGATGTGATTTGAAATGTGCATTGCTTACCCTTTCTGATATATTATACATACAACTCAGCTGCCTCATAATGCAGACGCAATCCAAGCACAGTGGTTTTAATACAAACATTCATTAGAAAACAGCCTGTCTGGTCTCAACCAAAACAAACCATTTTTTCTCTCCTTTTTATAGCTTTCAGAAATAACCTTATGCAAAAAAGTGATTATAGTTGTAATGATAAAAAATGACGGGAAAATGACAATAAGTAATGTAGTATCTTTTCGGAGCACATCAAGGACTTTGAAGCTTCACGTGTGAAGGAAGGTCTTTTTTTAAACCCCATTGAGCTGGGTAATATAAGGTGTCTAAATGAAAAGAAAATATTATCTGTCACTGCCATAACAGCAAGAAGATGAAATCATTTATATAGGCTGCAAGCAGAAGTGCTCCTGAAAGAAATCAGCACTGAATAAATATTTTTGGATGAATAGTATTCATCAGTAGCATAAGGGGAGGAAAGGGGGAAAAAAAAAACATGTATTGAGGATGAGAAACATAACAATTGAAATGAAATATTCCAAATACCTACTGAAATGTATTTCTAAATTTGCTAGGATGATTTTACAAATAGTTCCCCCTCATCTTTTATTTGCATGGAGACAGCCAAGGATGCTGCAGAAACTGGATCAGTGTTCCAGACTCAAATAACCCATCCTGAGACAAAAGCAGCCACACTAGCAGTTTCTGCCTCTTACAGTTCTGTTTCCTGTGCTGTCACCAAGTACCTGAATTGCCATGTAGAGGGGATATTCCCCTTCACCTTCTCCATCCCATTTCTGTAATACACAGCCAGGGTGGGCTGGGGAAGCCTGGGTATAGCCTAACTTCTTCTGAACCTGCTGTGGATGGCCTGACGTAGCCGATACAGCACAAATGCCTGCTTTGTAGAAAAAAACTGGATAGAGTAAAACTTAAATCTTTAGCAGTTCAGTGAAGCACTGATTCTGCCAACAGCATGTTAAAGAGGGAGTCTCATTAGAGACTAAGGAAGAATAGCACAGGAAGCACTTTGAGGAAATTATGCACAATATAACTGCCATATGTTTTTCCTTTTCCCTATTGGATGGGGGACACATAAACCATACAAACAGTGTACGAGGATAGATACATTATACAGACTGATATTGATTCTGGGGAGTTTTATGCCATGTAAATCAAGACTTGAAATGGACATAGAAAACTTCAGGCCAAAAACCAAACTGATATGAACTATAACAGTTATGATCAAGTAATACAAGCAGATTTGCTTTGAATTTTGCTTGTTTTGTGAACAGAAGCAAGGCTGCTGTTTTGCCCCTTTTGCACTGCTGTTGGGTGCACCTTCTTTCCCTTGCTGCTCAGGACTGTGATTTTGGGCAATTTGGAATAGAAAATGAGATGGAAGCATTCACCAAAGCTGCAAGATAGCTTTATGAGATCTGAAAGTGTAGGAGAGGTGGTGTGGAGATTTTTATTCAGTTTTCTGAATGCAATCAAGAGCTCTGTCCTCTGATTGTGATTCTTTTCTTCAGCTTTAAAAAGTAGCGCTGTGTTGTCTGATTAAGTTTGAAATTATTAATCTGGTTTGCTAAAAATTCTATGTATTATAAAGGAGAAACAGAAAAAACTTATTTTTAAAGTTATTTATTTTTCTTTAAAATGAGGCTTGCTGATTTTCACTTTTGCACCCCTCCTAAAACACTGTTAATCTAAAGATACCTGATCAAAGGAAGGTGATCTCCATTTTTCAGCAGCTGGAAAAGCTTTCTTGCTTTAAATCCTTTCACCAAAGAAAGGATTGAAGTAATTTTGTTTCAGGTTTCTGAGAAGGTTTCTTCAGGTTGAAGTCAAGTAGGAGAGATTTCAGCCCCAACAATGAACACTGAATGTGCAAATTGTATATTAATCATTAATGACTTTAAACCAGTTCTGCTTCAACAAAAATGTACCTGCATGCACCAGGCACGCAAAGCAGCCTCTTCTCTGCCACTGCACCGTACTGTGGTATAGAAAATAGCAGAGCATGGTCTTAAAGAGGAGGAGAAACACTGGATATCTTCAGTGTCAGTGTGATCAAAGGGATCAGCTAAAATACTCATTGTGTGTTCTTTCTGTTTGAAAGCTTTTTCTCAGAAGGCAACAGATAACTCAGACAGGATTTCATCTAAATTTGCAGAGATCATTTATATTTGTCTAGCTTGTTACTGCAGATATCATTAAGAGAAATGCAGTAATACTTCTGTCATTATCCTGACAAATCCCCAGGGAATGTAAATGCCTCGCAGACAAAATCCTTTCAGATCAAACCCAAGGTAGGTCACTAAAGAAATCTGGCTGAACACTCAAGCCCATGACGCCACCCAAACTTGCAGTGACTAAGTGATGAATGGCAGCACAGCGGTCCTTGGTAAACACACAAAGACTTATCAGCCTTATCCTGACAGGTTCTCTGTTCCATGAAAGCTGCCAAAACCAAAACATCATCGCTGGAGAAGATTTCTAGGATTTGGCCACAAGTCAGCAAGGATTTTGACTCTTGTTCTGCTTCTTAACATAGAACAGCAAAGACGGCAGGCATCACAGTCTGTTGACTCACTCCTTTTCTGCCTTTCTAAGTATAGTTCTCCTTGCACTACAAAGTTGTTGGATACTTGAATTAATATGCAAAGCTTGATGGGATGCTTATAGTCCCCACAGGCATCATTAGGAGGCCAAAAATAGAGTGAAGGCAGAGAAACGCCTGTGCAGCAACAAACACCGCTCCATCGCTATCTGCATTACCTTCCAAGATTAACAATTGCCTCCTTTGGCTCCATCCTGACAGGCTACTACAAGGCTGGCTAACCTAGCACAGGATGGAAACATTTTTTACCTGATATTGAGAGCCAGTTGTCTAAAACAGGTTTATTAATTGCTTACCTAGACGGCCCTCTGGAAGTTTATCATGAGTGTGCAAAGGAAGGCAAATCCAACAAAAGGGGAAAAACTACCCCCAAAAAAGCCA